AGGCTCAAAAGGAGCCCTCCTAGAGGTAGAGGAATATCTTTCATTGCTGGCTGAGAGAGATATGTGGCTGAGAGACCAACTCGTTACTGAAAGAGAGACGTCTGGCTGAGAGACAGCAGCAGTGGAACCAAGAGGCATGAGACAGAACAGCAGACTTATCTGGCTTGCAGAGGCCTGGCTGAAAGGACAACAGCCACAGAGGTGTGTCTAATGGCATGGCAGAGGGGAAACTGTCCTGACTGAGGAATTGAATCCTGAACGCATTCCTGAATTTGAGTTGCAGCCTGTTGTTTCCCTAATAAACCCCATAATCTGTGAGTGGTGTCTGTGAGTTCTGCATGGCCAGTGCAACGATTTGTCGAGCCCAGCAGAGAGGTAGTGAGTGCCGTGGGAGGGCCGGTTGGTGTCAGGGTTGGTGAAAGGGTTGAAGGGAGGCAGCATGTCTGGCCTCATAGGAATAGGCCTTGGGTTGCTGATGGTGATTCTGTCGTCCTCTTGTGGGATTAGAGGAGGTGAGGAGATGCTGCCTCCCTGCCCCTTTAGCACAAGCATAGTAGATCATATGGTTGTCTGATTCAAAATGGCCAAAAGCAGTCCACTTCAGCTCACTAATGCCCAGGATATCGATCTTTGTACATTCCATTTCATTTTTGACAACTTCAAGGTTTTCGTAGATTCATACTTCGTACATTCCATGTTCTCATTATTAATGGATGCTTGCAGCTGTTTCTTCTCATTTTGAGTCATGCCACATTAGCAAATAGAGGTCCTGAAAGCTTTAATTCATCCACATCGTTAAGGTTGGCTCTACTCTGAGGAGGCAGCTCTTCCCCAGTTGTATCTTGAGTGCCCTCTGACGTGAGGGACTCATCTTCCAGCACTATATTGGACAGTGTTTCAGGGCTATTCATAAAGTTTTCCAGTAATATATGAGACAGTGTTTCACTGCTATTAGTAAGATTTTCAGTGGCCAACTCTTTGAGAAGTAGGTGGCCTCTTCCTTCTCCCAAGTCTGTCTTAATCTAGAAGCTCCGCTTAAACCTGTCCACTTTGGGTAACCCTGTGGCATTTGAAACACCAGTGGCATAGCCTCCAGGCTCATAGCAACATGCAAGGCAGCACAGTATGACAAACTGACAGACAAGTTCATCTCCCTCAGTTGTTTCAAACTACTCTGTTGGTCTCCCTTAGCTATTCCTAACCACTACCAGCTCACTGCCTGATTTCCCCTAACTGTTTCAAATAGCCACTGGCTTGCTTTATGGTCTCCCTTAGCTATTCCAGACCACCACATCAGGATTGGAGGAAAACTCTTTAACAACCTGCAATATGCAGATGACACAACCTTGCTTCCTGAAAGTGAAGATGACTTGAAGTCTTACTGATGACGTTTAAAGACCATGGTCTACAGTCTGGATAAAGAAAGCAATAATCCTCACAACTGAACCAATAAACAGCACCATGATAAATGAAGAAAAGATTGAAATTGTCAAAGATTTCTTATTACTTGGATCCACAGTCAACACCAATAGAAAAAGCAGTCAGGAAATCAGATATCATATTGTGCTGGGCAAATCTGTGGCAAAAGACCTCTTTACTGTGCTGAAGAGCACAGATGTTTCTTTGAAGACTAAGGTGTGCCAAACCCAAGCCATGGTATTTTCTGTAGCCTCATAAGCATGTGAAAGGTGGACAATGAATAAGGAAGACCAGAGAAGAGTTGATGCCTCTGAGTTGTGGTGTTGGCAAAGAATACTGAAAGTACCATGCCTGCCAGAAGAATGAACAAATCTGTTCTGGAAGACTTGCAGCCAGAATGCCACTTGAAAGTGAGAATAACCAGACTTTGTCTCACCTATTTTGGTCCTGTTGTCAGAAAATACCATTCCCTGGAAAAGTATATCAGGCTTGGTAAAGGGGAAGGTCAGCAAAAAAGGGGAAGGCCCTCACCAAGATGGATTGACACCGTGGCTGCAATGATGGGCTCAGGTAGAGCCCGGATTGTTAGGATGTCACATGACCGGGCAGTGTTTCGTTATGTTGTACATAGGGTTGCTATGAGTTGGAGCTGACTTGACGGCACCAAACAATAACATTTTATTCCATTTGTTTTCTACATCAGCCCTAGTGAGGTAGATGCTTTATAATCTTTATTTTATAGATGAGGATACTGGGACCAAGAGACATTATAAACTCACCTAAGGGCAGAAACATTAGTTAAATTTTAGGGACAGTGCTGAACACCATGTACATTTTTGTGTTATTAAACTCAACCTCCAAAACCAAGTTATCCTGTCTTTTATTCTTCTTGATACCAGGTTGTGTATAAATGGTGAAATTTTTCCGTAAGTTTATCCCTCTTTAAGTGTGCCTATATATTAGAAAGAAGACCATAATATGTAAGTAAGCAAAAAAAAGAAATGGTTTTAGAAAATGCAGATAATTCAATACTTTTTTTTTCTGAAAAAGGAAATATGTCTACATGTTTACATATTAATTATATTGTTGTTGTTGTTATGTGCTTTGGAGTCAGACCTGACTCATAGCGACCCCTCCTTGAGTTTCCAAGGCAGTATCACCATGGAAGTAGATTGCTCAACCTTCCTTCCAAGGAGCGGTTGGTGGGTTTGAACTGACAGCCTTCTGGTTAGCAGTCAAGTGCCTTAGGCACCATGCTACCAGAGCTCCTACATATT